TTAGTGATGGACATGCTTTGGGAGCCCCTTTTATCCGCTTGGGAACTGGAATTAAAACCGGAAGCGGAAATCGAAACGAAATGCCGTGGAAACCCCAAATTGGAAAGCGGCACGAATTACTGTCGGAGCCATCGGGAGCCGGGGTCGGAGCCAAGGTCTGGCCTTCTATCGACTTATTGGTGGATACGCCGTGGGAGCCCCTGAATATCCGATTCGGAGTTGCCGGGATCGGTCTTTCTTAAGACCCGTTGGAGGACGGACGGAGTGACGCCGCAATCAACCCTTGGGACTTGGGAAACGGAAACTCGAGACCTCTTCGGCCGAAAAATGACATCATGAGGCGCGAACCATCTAGACGCTTGGTTTGGTCTGTTGTGAGCGCAGACGCCAAACACAACTGTTCAGCACAGCAATGGATATCACTAGACGCCTGAGATCAGTCTGCCATCAGCGGGGTGACCAAAAAATGACAGAGTTTGCGTTCCATCGCATTTTCTTTTGCGGCGTTGGGCGCCCTCGCGCGGACGGCCGAACGACCCCTGCAGCGGGACACCCTGCCCACACGGTCGGCGCCGCCAAAACTGCGCGTTCAACACGGGCGCCGCGCGAAATATTCCTCAGTCTCAGCCTGCCTCAACCTCAGCCTGCCTCAGCCTCAGCCTCAGCCTGCGTCAGCCTCAGCCTCAGCCTCAGCCTGCGTCAGCCTCAGCCTGCCTCAGCCTGCCTCAGCCTCAGCCTGCCTCAACCTCAGCACCGTGGTCGGAAAGAAGCATCGGAGCACGGTTAGGAGCCCGAATTAGGCAGAAACCAATTGGGATAGGCCTGATGGGATCGCACACCCATTTCGGCATACCCTTCACACGTTTCGTGGCCCCATACGGAGTTCCGCCGAAGGCCCCAATGGGTATGCTCGCATGCGTCCCGCACACCCATTTCGGCACAATCCTCACGCGTTTCGTGACCCATCACACGTTTCGTGGTCCCATAACTCCACCGACGGCCCCAATGGGTGTGCCCGCATACGTCCCGCACACAAATTTCAGCACACCTTTCGCACGTTTCGTGGCTCCATAAGGGGCTCCACCGAAGATCCCAGCGGGTGTGCCCGCATGCGTCCCACACCCATTTCGGCACACCCCTCGCACGTTTCGTGGCCCCATCGAGAGCTCCACCGAAGTCCCAGTGGATATGCCCGCATGCGTCCCGCACACCCATTTCGGCACACCCCTCACACGTTTCGTGGCCCCATAGGGAGCGCCACCGAAGAAGATATTCACAATTGCGGTACTCACAATTGCATATGGTTGGGTCCTTCGCCAGGATAATTGTCCTCATCTTTTGAGTCGCTCGCCCTGCCGTGTCCCAAATAACCGGCGGGACTGTCTGGCCGCGGCTGTTCCGATCGTGAGATTGGGTTGATGACTGTGACATCGCAGAAGAGCGGCAAACCCCGCTCTACATTGAGGCCCTGGACAACGAGATCCAATCGACGCAAATTTGGTGGTGGTATTGGCACACTAGTTCTAGCCAACATCCTCTCCGCATTTCTGTCCGTAGTATTGCCATCTATGTTGGTTTTCACCTGATATAACATCATGTTTGTCGCCAGCTTTGTCTATGTCCGTCGGTCCATGCCGACAGCTGCGCTCCGTCGTCCCGCTAATTCTGCTTCCCGCAAACACGGGAGACACACTATTTGATTGAGTTCGTGTAGTAATGCGTTCCTTGTTTCAGGAAACCGTTGCTGAATTTTGGGTCATGCGTCTGCACACCTAGCAAAAAAACAACAACACTATTTGTTCTGCATGCGCTGCGTAAGCCCATCCCGGTAGTTCGCGTATGTCGTACCGTGCAAATTGTCATCCCATACAGCCCTTGTGGTGAATGTTTCTAAGATTGAGGTGTCGTGAAGTGCAGGGGCGTCGTTCGCAGCCTATGGTAGAGTCTCGGCACAGCGCAGCAATACAAAAGTAACCAACCCACTTGCAGAGAGGAGAGCCTTTGAATCATTCGATCTGGAAAATCACTCGCCTACCAAATCCGACGGTAACCCGGGCTGTAATCCGAGCATCGGGTACGGCACCACCGTTAGGATTAGAATTTGGGTTTCCAAATTTCCGCCAGAAAAAGAACCACGCCCAAACCCAAACGTTAGATATCATGGTCCACCAACTCCCGCTTCCGGGTTCCGATTCTGGTATGCGACCTTAAGCGAATTGGATTTGCGATTCGGCTTGGGGATCTGTTCTGAAACGAGGGCAAAAAGGGTTGCTAGAGAAGAAACTGGCAAGCAAGGCTACGCCAACTCCTATCACATGTTCCCGGTCAAGCATCCTTGCAGCGCCTTATTGCTTGAGCCTCCAGCGGGTCCCATTCCCAATGCGCGTGCTGGAAGCCTTCCCCGCAGCTCCTTCGAAGCTCCCTATCCCAAGCTTGCAAGCTCTCCAGGCATCGTGTCCAGGCCCCTTGCAAGGTTCCCCCCCAATCCCTTCTCAAGCTTGCACGGGGGTTATGCCAAGGGGTTGTGCTGGGGGGTTGCGCGGGGGGTTGTGCTTGTGGGTCGTGCTGGGGAGTTGTGCTGGGGGGTTGTGCTGGCAGGGTTGTGTTGGGGGTTGTGCTGGGGGGTTGTGCTGGGGAATTGGCTGGGGGGTTGTGCTGGGTGGTGTGTGTTGTGGGAGAGTTGTGCTGGGGGGTTGTGCGCTGCGGGGTTTTGCTGGAAATTCGTGCTGGGGGTTGTTGCATGGGGGGTTGTGCTGGGTGGTGGTGCTGGGGGTTGTGTCAGGGAAGCATGCAAACTCGAGAAACAGAGCTTCGCAGAAGCCCAGGAAAAGCTGAGAAAGAGCTTCGGAAAAAGTTCCCCGGAAACATATTGGGAACAAACAGGAAACGCCTTCAAGACACACTGCAAACCGCAGCACAACCCCTCAGCACAATCCCCCAGCGCACCCCCCAGCACAACTCCTCAGCACAACTTCCCAGCATAATTCCCCAGCACAACCTCCAGCACAGCCCTCGGCACCCCCCACCAGCACAACCTCACCGCGCACCTCCCCAAGCACAACCCCCCAGCACAACCCCCAGCACAACCCCCCAGCACCCCGCCAGCACAACCCCCAGCACAACGCCCAGCACATCCACCCAAACAACCCCCAGCACCCCCCCAGCACAACCCCCCAGCACAACCCCCCCCGCACAATCCCATCGCACAACCCCCCAGCACACAGCCCAGCACGACCCCCCAGCACACCCCGCCAGCACAACCCCCTGGCACAACCCCCCAACACCCCCCCAGCACAAGCCCCCAACGCAACCACCAGCACGACAACCAACACAACGTAATCGCCGTGACTGTTTTAAAGCTAGGTTTACGAGTCTCACTCGCGCCTTGGCCGCAGGGCATGGAACAACATACATACTTTAAAACGGATGGCTTTAGAGTAGGTCCGCGATGCTGAAACCGGGCATGCTATCCTATCTTTTTAAACTCCCTGTGCAAGCAGTGGGTTTCTGTGTCGCTAGGCGTGGCGCGTGTTTTGCAACATGCAGCATTCACTCATTACCACTTCGTGCTCAGGACCTGGACCAATCCAGAAAGTACGTTAGCATAACGCTGCCTCGGAACACCGAACATACGTGCATAACGCTGCCTCGGAACACCGTCCGTGTAGTTATCCAGACGTCGCGGGCCATTCCACTGTAAAACCACCCTAACCCACTAAACCAATTAAACCCATAAACTGTGGCGGCGATAGTCGGGTACATTTATGGCCGGATCACCACACTTCTTTGGTTATCATTCGTGCTGCCCCTCGCTCAGGAACGTGACGTCATGCGGGCAACTCGCTGGGCAACAATGCGCAGCGGCGTGAATTTTCCAAGCCAGAAGCTGAACACTTGAAATGAACGCTTCACGCGCAAACCCGTGCTCAAAACACTCATGATGCACGTGAATTGACTGCGGCTCGTAACTCCTTCGGTTCATGTGCACCTGGCGCGAGAAGAGATTCGACCCGAGCCTCCGTTGAATTGAGCGCATCCTGCCGTTCTTCCCCTCGCTTGCTCAACGAACAATGCAACATAACTTGCCCGCGAAGCACGGTTCCGTTCAGCACAGCAACTGTCACCCACGCATCAGGTCACATAATGTTCACCACAACTCCATGGTACCAGCGTCTGTTGCTGACAGTAGTCCGCAGCACCATCTTTTCGTCTGTACTTATCTTTTTCGTCCTCGTCCTCCTGCTCCTCTTCTTCCTGGCAGGGGGCCATCCAAATAGGGTCCGACAAAAATGGGCTCCACATCGCCGATGTATCGGCGACATGTCGGCGATGTCGGGACGGAGGAATCGGGGTGTGGATCGCCCCACATCGCCGACGCATTGGCGATGTGAAGCGATCCTCCAACCCCATCTATTCCCGCCCCAGTTGAGGACCTAGCAGCCTGAGGTTCGTCCTGCTGCTGCTGCTCCTCCGCCTTCGCCTCCGCCGCTCCCCCCCGCATCTCCCCCATCACGCAGGTGCGGGTGCGACACTTTGCCGCTGCGGTGCGCCTCCAGAGCCCGCGCCAGGCGGCCACGCGGACGTTCGTTCCCGCTGTTGCTGGGGCTGCCACGAACCCGAAAACTGGAAAACAGTTAAACATAGATTGTCGCGCCACCAGTGCAGCCTGGGTCTGGCTACTCCTCCTGGTCGTCGTCCTCCTCGTTGCCGTCCTCCTTCTCCTCCTTATGCTCCTCCTGGTCGTCGTCTCATCCCGCCCTTCATCCTCCTCCCCCTTCTTCCGCTCTCCTCCTCACTTTCCTCACCTCTCCCCTGTCCCTCCGACCCCAAGTGTCAGACCAGTAGGCAACCAACAATCAGTAGTGAGCAGTAAACTCAGCGATGCTGCACAAACCACGCTCACTAAGCTGCAAGCCGTACACCAAGTCAACCGCAGGCGGTAGGCAGCACGCGGCGGCCACGGTGCCCGAAGCTGACGAGGAGTTGCGAGAAGGGCCATCTCAGAGCTTCGAGAGCTCGTCCTCCTTCTTCTTGTAGATGCTGGCGGGCAGATGGCGCGGGCTGAGAGCACACCTAGTCCCCCTCCCCCTTCGCTGCTCCCGGCCCCCTGCACCTTCTGCTCCTCCACCACCTCCTACTGACCTTCCTCCTCCTCCTCCTCCTCCTCCACCAACTACTGATCTTCCTCCTCCTCCTCCTCCTCCTCCTCCTCCTCCTCCTCCACCTCTTTCCCCTCAGTCATTCTGCACCCGAGCCGCGTTTTGCCTGAGGAGGCAGCGCGGGTGTTTTGCACGTCAACTTCAGAGTGGCCCTGGGTGCGACAGCGTATGGTCCCCACGTCCGAGCAGCAGCAGCAGCAGCAGCATGATGGATCATGGAAGCGCGGGCACTGCACATCCAGGAACGGGGACAGCTACGAATATTTCTAGAAATGTTGGAAGGGGAAGCCAGCTGCAGGCACAGCCGATGGCACCACCTCCAGCAAGTACACTGACGATGGTGAAAAGGACAAGGATCCGACCGCCGAGCAGCTCGCTACTTCGCGGACCAAGCTGGCCGCGCTCAAAGAGATGTCGAAAGACCCCATCCTTGGCGAGCTCGTGGTGGACAAACCCGGCCCGCTCCAAGCGCGGGCTGACGCAATGCAGGCACATGTCGGGTCAGGGGTGCCGATGTGCTTCACTGAGTGCAAGGTGCTGCGAGAACGCAGCAAGTTCACAGAGCAGCGCGACAAGTGCAAGCTCCGCGGCACCAAGCTAGATGAGGACCTGGCCAAGGCACACAAGGCGCTGGAGAGAGGCGTTCTACAGCGTCGCGAGGAGAAAGTGCAGAAGCCCAACACCAAGATCGAGGAGCCGTCGGTACCAAGCCCGGGCAAAGTCTGGGGCGCAGCGCAGGCCGCCAGGCGCCCCATGCCTGCTGCAGGATGCGCTGGAGCACGCGCAGAAGCAGAAGAGACTGGAAGACGAGACGGCTGCCCAGGCAGAGCAGGCCCGCCAGGCAGCCGCAGAGGCCGACTGCCTGCGCACCCAGCAAGAGGCAAGCCAAGCAACGGCCTCACAATGCTAAAGGGGCCCGAGGACACACACACATAGATACACACACATCCCAGGATTCCTTATATTTTCATATGTATATATATATATATGTATATATATATATATGTATCCTGGGTTTTCGTCTTCCCCCCCAATTGTCCATATTTTCCTCTATTGTCCTGGGAATCGACGATTCATTGTGTCTGTGTGTTTCTTCCCCTCCTGAAGTATAGGCGAGCGAAGCGGCGTGCAGCCGCCGATTCGGTCGTCGAGGAAGACGATGCTTGAGTTCCCTTGCGGGGGCCGATGAGCAGGCGGTGCGGAAGGTCATGCACGACGGCGGCGTCACGAAGGAGCAAATGGTCGTGGTCGTCGTCGTCGTCGTCCGTCGTCCGTCGTCCGTCGTCCGTCGTCCGTCGTCCGTCGTCGTCGTCGTCGTCGTCGTCGTCGTCGTCGTCGTCGTCGTCGTCCTTCACGCCACTCCGATGATTAGGCTTGCTGGTACGGTCGCATATACGTGCCTCGCCATCTCCAAGCTGCAATGGACCAAACCGTCGTCTTCCTGACGAAGAGCGCCGCGTCGACGCCGGGAAATTCTTCACTATCAATGCGAACTCCATTGGCACGCTCGTGGTGTATCTGGTGCAGACGTCCATCATCATGTCCCAAGAGTTGCAGGCCGACGAGCATACGATAAACCTGTTCATAGGCCACATGGAAAAATAGAGATGGAAGCTGGTCATCGGTCCGAGCGTCCGAAAGGAAGGAGGCTGGAGCGCAGTAGTCTTGGTGGCGACACGGCGACGCCAAGGCAGGGGTACGTGCGGAGAAATATCAATAAGTGGGACATTTGAAGGGACGACTAGCCGTGGCTTGGCTAGATGGAGTGTGCAAAGGGGGCCTACTCTTGGATCTGCCTACCTCTGGACCAGCGAGGGCCTGACGCGCAGGAACCAGCTGATCCTCACCAAGTGGACGAGCCGCAACGCTACTGGCTACCAGTAGGTCCTCGTGGGCGACGTCAAGATGGACCCGCACATCATCAGGGACTTGGAGCTGCTCAGCAGGAGCGGGGTCATAGTGTGCGACGGGCAGCGGGGTTCTTGCAATGTGCTGGGGCAGGAGTGCGACAGAGACAACTTTTCAAATCACTTGCGCGAGCTGGGAACGGCATGGGAGGAAAATCTCAACCGCTACCACAACTTCGAACGGGGAGGAGCTGACGAGGCGACAGGGGCACCTCGACGAGGCCAAGTGCAACTGGACCTGCGTCGGGGTGCCGAAGCTGAAGGAGGCACTGCACGGGCAGGCCTGGGCAGAGGCAGCCGAGTGGCTCGTCGGCGCAGAGTGCCGGCGGACTTCGTGACCAGCTGGTGGGCCCGAGGGGCCGACAAGACGCGTGAGCAGGCGATCCACGTGGCCGAGGCCCCGCCGGACCACGCGACTGTCATGTCCCCGGTGCAGACGCGCCCCGTCGAGGGCGCTGCTGGCCCGCGGGGGCCAGCAGCAGGAGGCCAGGCCCGTCGAGGGATTCAGCGAAGAGGAGCTGACCAATGTCAGTCAAGATGAGTTGGTTTCGGCGGCAGTCATGGCGGACGCCGCCGAGGGGTGGCTCACCTGGGACACGGCGCAGTGGCCCGCCAGCGCGAGCGCGGTGGGCGGCCTCGACGTCGCCAAGCTGACGACCCAGGAGCTGAAGTACATCGACTGCGTCGCGACCCTCGTGGACGTGGCAAGTCGAAGGAGCTGGAGGCTGGTGCAGCGAGCGTCAGCAGCAGGCTTGAGGAGGTGGCTACGTGACCACAACGCAGCAGGAGCGGATGCCATCCACAACTGGACCAAACCGCACGTGCCCTGGCAGCCGACGGCACCACCAACGGATGAGGCAAGCAGCGAGCATGCGTTCGCGCACCCACATGACGCGGTGGGAGACGGGGGTAGGATCGAATGAGCCCATGCCATGGAAAATAAACGAGTATGCCTCCCTCGAGCAATCTTCTGTCGTAAATGTGCCAGGTACGCCCAGGACAGATGGGTTGGTTTGCAGTCGAACGGTCTCGCGGGAAACCCCGGGTCATGGCTGGTCGTTTTGGCCGTCTGCGGGAAGGTCGTCACCCCATCACAAGAAAACCATTTTGACTAAAACCGAGCTCTATCGCCCAAGGAAGGCCTGGGGTAGGCAAAGTTTTCACCGTCGCCGCTTCGGATTTCAGGCCCTCCTCCTCCTCCTCCGCCTCCTCCCCCTCCTCCTCCTCCTCCTCCTCCTCCTCCTCCTCCTCCTCCTCCATCTGCTCCTCTTCCTCCTCCTCCTCCTCCTCCTCCTTCTCCTCCTCCTCCTCCTCCTTCTCCTCCTCCTCTCCTTTCTCCCAATCCAAGTCAGCGAAGTTCGTGGTTCACGCCGCGCCAAACGCTATTATGTTCGAGCTTTTTCACGACCCTTCAAGAAAACAAACAACTCTCCGTCCCAAACCTCGGCGCGCGAACCGCAATTGTCTTCGCGCCCCTGTCGGTGACGTGGCCCACCCAATCTTGTGGAATACGATGTAGAATGATACCCTGGTCCCTCTGGGGGAGCTTCCCCGGAGGTATGGGAAGAATACGAAACGTGTGAAGCATGATGGCGGAATTGTGCATAATACCCTCTCAGGGAGGCTCCTTGGCGACGTGGGGTGGTCGCAACTCATGTGAACTAGTATGGTGAGATCGTGCATTGGGCCCTCTCGGGGGACTTCCCTGGAAGGGTTGGGTGATCACGAACCCTGTAACATACTACGGTAGCGTGATGCCCTGACCCCTCTGGGGGAGCCTCCCTGGAGGAACGGGAGGAATGCGACACCCGCGTCATGCTATGGCACAGTGGCGCATTTGCGCCTCACGGGGGGGATCCTTTGAGGCGTGGGAGGAGCACGTAGTCTGTGACACAATATGGCATTACATGCTTGTTGTCTGGGCAACTCGCTCGTTCTAAAACTCTGGAGCTGTCCTGGGGGCGCGCAAAAAAAAACATCTTTCCACTCCTCGGAGTAATCGCCCATGCTCGCTCGGCGTTGTGCAAGCGTGGCAAAAAGAGGCACTCGGCAGAGGCTCACTTCTCTGCGGTGCGCAGGTCCTTGAGGGATCGCGCAAAAAAATCTCGGTTGCGCACCTGCTCGAAGTGGGCGCCCATGCGCGCTCGGCGCCCCTTCGAGCCGTCCTCGTTGTACCCGCACTTCGTGCAGGCCTTGGCTGCCTCGAGGGCCTTCTCGAAGCTGGCGCGCTTGGGCTCGGCCGCGAGCGTCTCCTCAGCCTCCTTGCCCTTGGCCTTAAGCCTTGCTCTTGGTCTTCGCCTTTGCCTTCGCCGCAGGGTCGTCGCAGGCGTCTCGGAGGCGCTGGATCCACTCGTTGCCGCGGGCGCAGCGGACGCCGACGCTGACGGGCCCTTGGCGTCCCTCGCCGCGAAGCTCGCGCGAACTGCGCTCGACCCACCCCGGCACCCACAGCCCGCAGGACCAGCCGTCCACCTGGAATGCCCCGCTGCTCCTCGGAAGGCACGTCTCGTCCGGGCCGATGGAGCCGAGCTCGCGGAGGATCCTCGCGGCGGCCCGCCGGGCGCTCTCGGACGGCGCCTCGAGGGAATCTCGGTGCTCGATGGCGGCGTCGGGCCCCCACTTGGAGACCTCGAGGCAAGTGTAGTGGTTCGCGGCCGCGCCGTGCAGAGTGATGAGCAAGTGCGTGGCCTCCTCGACATCACGGGGGGAGCACTCATCTCAAACCCAAGCACCGTCAGAACCGACGACGCGGACCCACCAGGAAAAAGTGAAGGGGGGGTTGCAAAACTGGCCCACCCCCCCTCACCACTTAGAGAGGGTCACAAAAAACTGACGACCGCCACCTGGGGAACACCAAAGAAGACCTGAAAAGGAGGAGGAGTTGGAAATTCGGACGACGGCGTGGCCGCCCGACCAGTTGACCCCCTCGGCCGA